AGATTTGTGTAGCACGAAAAGGTAATTTGGTGTTAATGAAAACAAAGCTAAATAGGCATGTCATTATCGGATATCAATCAACATTAGTGCAGTGAGCGGGCGTTCGGCGTTCGTGTTGATTCTGTCCAGTCAGCGCAATAAGCGCTGCGAGTTGCGCCCGCCGCGCCACTGACTCGGCGCTAAGCCTGCGCCACAGAATACACATAACAGAAGGTAATCTACATACAAAGTGCGCTCGAGCAACGCACGTATAGACAACGCTCTCGGACACGATATGTCGACCCTCCGATTCTGGCGGCCTAGGCACGTCTTAGACTACCTTGGCGACGAAATCACCCGCGCCTCCGTTTTCTCCCACATAAACCAACACTACACAGCTAGCAAACGTGCACACTAGCTTAGCATTAGGCAGACACCGCACCCGTAGAATAAGAGTGCGAAGACACGGTCTACACCCGACACGCTATACCAGATACAGGTATGTACCTGGGCGTTTTTCCTCGCCCCCTACGACAACGGCTAACTAGAGCCGAGGTCCGAGTCTCAGAGACGCCCTCTAGTTGAGCCGAACCCCTCAGGTTCGAGTGGTCTAGAGGCTCCAGAAGGAGAGGAGACTCCCCCTTGCGGGGAGATGCCATCCGTCTGGAATACCTCTAGAGGCACTCGCCAATTCTCGGCTTGGGGTCCCCTTGGGATCTCGCCGTCCCCAAATCCGGTGACATGTAAAGGTCATCTGCGACCAACAGCATGCAAACTAAATAAAAAACGATATGTCGAACCAGTACCGACCACTGCGAGCGCGAGTTTCATCCGCTCAAGACACGCGTCTATGAATTCTTTTGCGCAAAAATGGAACAACAAAAACAAAATATTAAATCTGTTCAGTAGACGGTTGTTTAAATTCAACATTAAATGATTGTTTGTTTAAATTTGCATTAAAACAAAAATATTAAAATTTAAATATTTTAGTTTTTTTTAGGTTTATATTTCCGTTCCGTCTGTTTCACTCTCGACAATAAATCAAACAACTAGATACGAGTGCCACAACCGCGATAGTTTTTTTGTGCATAAGCCAATGTTGACAATCATAGCGCGACCGCCGAGCGTAGGTCTGAAAATTGAAGTACATGATATTACCTTCTGTTATGTCTATTTTGTGGCGCTAGGTCTGCGCTGGGAGCTCCGCGTGACTCAGCACCGCCGTGACTCATGATTCGACGGTTTCTGGATCGTCTGCCGTCAGCCGAAATAAGTGGATTGCCGCTTCACGACTCGATGATTCCATTTAAAAGAACGCTTTGTGATGTTATTACTTTGGACGCTCACGTTCGATTAAATTTCTCTCTCACTCGCGTATTTTGATGTTACCATCCGTGTAGCAGTTAGAAAAACGCGCTAAAGATTAAACAGTGACCCAAATTACTTTTTGATGAGATTATCACTGCTCCCCAGCTTAGAAATGAATTACGGCACGTTCAGTATCTAAATTGCACTGACGTAATGTCCAAAGTGCTGTACTTAATGATTTCTTTGTTGTGATCTCCTCTGTTTATGACATGTGCACATTGTTTATTTATTTTTGTTTAGGAAACTTTATGTTTACACGCGTACAACTTAGTAATTAGACAAAAATTATATGTTACCGGCAATCTGTATAATTTGGTATTCTATAAATATACCTAGGCAATGTATAGAATGATTAAAACGTCTAGGCAATGTATGAAATATTATTAATTTTATACTTTGCCTTAGTATTCTATACAATGTGATAGATAGAGAAGATAGCGCGTCGGCTTCTCCTTGTTTTATTTATCTATTATCTATCATGTGGCTGGTTAAGTTAAGGTCACAACACTAACTTAACCTAACCCCCTGTGAGTTGGTCAAAAGTTCATTGGTCTGTAATTCATTCGGTGAGAATTATAAGACCCGTCCGTCATTTAAATGCAACTGGGTTTGCTAGGTTAGGTTTTGTCAGGATAAATACAGGCTAAATCTGATTATTTGACTCCCGGTGGGCCATTAGGTACTCTATACAATCCCTAGGAATTGTATACATTACCTAGGCAAAGTATAAAATGTAAATAATATTTATAATATTCCAAGACGCCCCAGGTATTCTATACCATTGCCTGGATATTGTATAGATTACCTGAGTTATACAAATTGCCGGTGACATATACATATATATAACTTGAAGTCATAAATGTAACATACATGATAAAAATGGTGTGGTTTTATGAAACCACGATACAACCTTTAAAATCATTGGTTAAAAAAAGACCTTTCTCAGCTGGGAATCGAACCTGAGCCGCCAGTGTAGCAGGCGAGGTTTTTACCACTGAATCACCGATGCTTGCTAAAACCGTCTGATTTTTTTAAAATAGTTAAAAATTTAATGCTCACTGGCATATATTGGAGTTATTTGATAAATGGGTATTAGGACTTATTGAGTAAATTCGCCAGTGAAAAGTCAAAGGAGTTCTACTTTTCCTTTTGGGATTAAACATAGAGACGATTTTACGTTCTGTATATTTGTTTGTATCCCTTTGCGATTGTGGAAATTAAGCAGCGTTCGCAATCACCGCTCATTGGATGGGTGGTCAAATATTTAATCACTTTCTGGTTTCGAAAACCAAGTTAAGTCGTTAGTCGTAACTGCATATATCGTTAGCATTCTTATCACTCGCACTAAGACAGTGTAGGTATATCAATAGGGTTTCGGTCATCGTCATGTAGGCATAGAATCCTCATAGTTCGGTCAATTTTAAAAGATCCATTGGTAATCCATTCATGATGGATCTAGTGAAGTTTTATTATCTCACTAGCGGCCCGCCCTCGCTTTGCTTCGGTGTAGAGCTGAAGTGTAGACTACAGTTTTTGTGCTCAGGCTTGTATTATTATACACAATGACATTCATCTATGATTCTTCTTATACCTGAATGCAAAGTCTCAGCCCGATCGGTTTAAAATTGACAAAGTTTCATACAAACTTTCATTCCCTATTTTATCCCCTTGGGGGTAGAATTGATCAAAATCCTTTCACAGCGGATGCCTACGTCATAACATCTACCTGCATGCCAAATTTCAGCCCGATCCGTTTAGTGGTTTGGGCTGTGCGTTGACAGATCACTATGTATATCTAATATATCAAATTCTCGTGTCGCGGTGTTTGTGGTTAAACTCCTCCGAAACGGCTCGACCGATTTTCGTGAAATTTTATATGCATATTCAGTAAGTCTGAGAATCGGACAACATCTATTTTTCATCCCCCTAAATGTTAAGGGTAATCCACCCCTATTTTTTTTTTCAATTTTAGATATTTTTTTTTAATTTTTATGATACATCATAGAAAAATAAATATAACCCAAAATTTTCGCCCTTCTACCACCAACCCCTTTTGTGTTTGATTTCAATACTTTCACCAATTTGTGTGTTTGATTTCAATACTTTCACCAATTTTATTGATTAAGCTTGTTGTGAGAGCGTTTCTTTGAGCTATAATTTCATTAACTACACTTGTAGTTTTCTCTGGTGTCTCTTTTGAAAATCTATTAAAATGGGCCTACAAAATCTTACTGATGATGGAACAGGGTTTTCCCACAAAGTTTCATTTGTATTAATATCAACAAGTTTCAGAGGTACTAATGAAGATATAAATAAATTTGTGTCAGAAATTAACTCATCCTCTTCAGTTAAGACTTGCTTGTATTCACTTTGTCCGCTTGAGCCATCACAGCCCCATTTCGAATACAGCATTAAATGTTTTTTGCCAGCTTTGTATACACCATTGATTTTCAAAATTCTTGCAATAGTGTGATCCAGCAGATCTTGCAGTTTTATTTTTGCTGTAATATTATTAATTTCTATGCTTGATCTTGGTGGGTAGCACATTCCTTTAGCTTCCTGAATTGATTTATATGACGGAAATAACACGCAGTTCTTCGCAATTAAGCAATTTCTTGTTTTCATACTGTGCCATGTTAAGGTCCAACTCTATAAAAATACTGAGAGCTTGATCTTTAGAGTACGCTGTTAAATGTGCTGGTTCATTTAAAAGATTTTGACGCATTTCACTTTTTTTATCTATGGGTAATACTCGTAAATTTTAGCGATATTTCCCTCAGAAAAGTTGATAAAATTATTCCGTATATAACTTGTTAAAGCAACAACATAATTCCTAATTTCTGATAGATGATTAAAGAATCATATATCAGAAAGTTTCGCTTTAATAATAATTTTACTCATAGAGGAGGAGATTTTGCATAACCAAAGTTTATAATATGGATAAGGACTGCAGAAAAACTAATATAATACGTAATACATGTACAAGGTGAGGTCTGGCGTGGAATATTGCTCGCACCTCTGGGATGGCTCCGCCAAGTACTTGTTCGATGCTTTGGATAGGTTACAGCGGCGCGCGATCCGCATTATGATGCGATACGAGGTGTTTAGTCACCTCGAGCCTCTTCAATTACGCCGTGATGTGGCGTCACTAAGCGTGTTCTATCGTCTATACCACGGCGAGTGTTCTGAGGAGTTATTCTCTCTTATTCCACCTTCCCCTTTTCTTCAGAGTACCACGCGCGCTGGCTTACTTGGCTACTGGCTTGTTACCACAATTCCAACGCGTACAAAGAAATTTGGTAACTCATTTCTTTGTCACACTATCCGTAAATGGAATGCTCTGCCCGCTCACGTGTTCCCTCCCTCTTACAACCTGGGATCCTTTAGAAGAGGCGTGAAGAAGCAACATGCAAACCGCAGGGTGAGGGTGGCTGGTGTGGCAGGTAGAATTGCTGTATCAGCTGTCTTTGCGTCTAGACTTCACCTTCACTTAACATCAGGTGGGGTGGAGTCATTTGTCCCACATAACTTTAAAAAAAAACATTACAGAATAAAGAAATTCATTGTCGGCAATAGACAAATAGCTCTTGCTTGACTCATTCAATAGGCTACCGAACGTCAAGGCTAATCAAGCAATAAATATCTTGTTTCAGAGGCTTGACCGGGAGAATACCAAGAGTCCAGCAAGCACTGGAGGCAGAAAGAAGACAGCATTGAAGAGCAACGGGCAGATAGCTACTGCTGATCCTCCGCCTGCCGCGACAGGTAACTTTTGCAATATTTACGAGTATAATAATTAGTTCATTTTCAGTTAACACTATAGTGTCCGTGGGCGGCGCAGTGACCACTTACTATCGGTGGACTGCCAGTTAGTTTGTCTCCATAAACATAAAAACAAATTAAATTTTAATTATCCTAGTTAATCTTCGAATCTCAATGATTTCAGATAACAAATTCACTTCCGCCCATGTACGATATAATTATTATACTTAGGTATTATAAAACCAAACTCCTAATTAATTATCTGATTTTTGCTTTCCGCAATTTCATTTCATAATTGAGAAAGAGATAGTGTTATGTCATATTTGTTTGACATATCTATATCTTTATTATTATAACTAGATTTGAAGGGAAAAGCGTAAGAGATAAAGTTAGACAATTAGTCCCCAGCTCTCATCTATAACAATCAAAGAAATCTCCTATATATGCTTTAATATGACGAAGTTAATAAAAGGAACCTTCATTAGTTCTAAGGAAGCTCTTCTTACTACTTAGGGCTTATTAGAACTCTCAAAGGCTTTGTTTCCGCTCACCTGCCCTCAGTTGTTTATACACGGTAAACTCAAAATAGAGACAGTATTGTCGCTACAAAAGCTCTCTGGGGTACTATCCAGATCCGGGCTTAATAGGATAGGATTCCAGGCATTCAAGCGTGGCTTTCTATGTACGTAACATACAATATAATACAATCCAGTTATGCTTAAATCGTTTTATCTCGTTAAAATCTCCCTATTTATTTAATTACACTCTAAAAAAACAGTTCCTATTTATTTTCTATTTTAATAAAAAAGAAATAGTATGCCGTGTTATCAATGTAAGTTACGAATCCAACCAGCTCTACAAAATCTTTTTTGCTTCTTCACGCTACTACGAACGAACTACATCAACAAAGACAATGATCACTGGCACCTATTTCTATCGCTGCTTTTTTTCTCTCTTCAATTATATTGTTGGAGATATTTAGTTTCGGTTTTATCTTTTTTCTTCCTCGTCTCTTGTTTCACTTGAATTCGTTGCTCACTAGACTGTAAAAGTTCGATTACGGCTAAATCAAACAGCATGTTTTTGTACACTTTGATGTAAGCAAGTGAATGTCTCAATCTTACTGACATTTGATTTGTTGTAAACAACATTTTGTATCTTATATAAGTTTGTTTACAAATATACAGAGCGGAAATGACGGCAGCATTAATACATTGTAGAAATGTTTGGCTTCCAATTCATCAGTGGCTCGTGAATAATGTGGTATTTACTACCGCAAATAAACAGAGTAGGGAAAAGTTTTGCAATTCTTAATTTTTCTTGTTGTCCTTCCACTGTGTGGATTTGTGGCATAGTAAAAGTTGGCGCGTTGCCAAAGCTCGATAATGAGCTACATTAGTTTTTCTTCGTCTGGCAATAAAAGTTCAATATATCATATTAGTTTCAAAATACCTGCTATACTAATTATAGAGTTAGCCAAGTAGTTTTTTATCAGAATCGCCTTAGAGCATCAGTTGCTACTGTATTTATTGTTCATTCTCTGATATTTTTGAAAGTTTTCTTTTATTTTTATCCGAGATATTTATTCTTCGAGGTCTGAATTATTATTCAGACCATATTTTACATTAATCAATGTTCTAAATATCGGGAAGTATATAGAAATGCCATCAAAAACATAACTTGTAAAAAAAAGTCTCGCAAGTCGCAACTCAGTTCTTCTACCGTAAAAAGTTGTGAGATCCATGTAATACCAAGTCGGTTAATTTGTACAGTCCCTACTTTAATTAAGGGACCTTCTGTCTTTTAAATAAATAGATTGACTTGACCATCGAATGAAAACAGTGTCTCACAAGTAATAATATATTAAGTATATTATATTAGATTGTTTAGTGCGATTGGCAACTCTCTCAACCTTTTTTTTTGCTTTTGAGTGTTAAGGATGTTTGGAACTATTTTGTTAAAAATCTTACCTTCAAATGATACCAAAATGCAATTAATTTGGAGGAAATGATAGGCGGCAATTGCTTGGAGAAATCTTTAGCATATGGCTGAACATTCTTCACAAAGCGCCACAGATTCGAAGTTTTAGGCAAGCGTTTATTTCATTAGCAGTAGTGATCTAGGACTGACTGTCACTGTTTACCGGAAATCTCCAGCAGTAAAATGATTGCGTCTTCGAATGACCTCAAGTTATTGTACTGATTATAACGATGATATTATTGAGCTATAGGTCATATAGTTTTATCATGTTAAATAAAGACAGTTAAGATAAATTTTAAGAACGGAAAGAGCCGTGTGATGACCAAATCTCCGAAGGTTACTTTAGCATATTCAAGTGGGTTCAGATTGGTTGCCTGGTCTTTGTCCTATATTATCCAAACATAGCCATCCCTGGTCATTTAATCGACCTTTACGGCTTACTGGGAATTAAGCGTATTTTATATTTTTGAACCGACGCGCGCGACGAAATAAAATGGAAGAGGTTATCGAGACGCCTTATCACGCATAACTTTTTACAGAGTAGTCTGATTTTGATAATTCTTTTTTTTTTTGTTGGAAAGGGTATAATCGGAAATTGGTCTCATATAAATTAAAAAAAAATTTTTTTAGGGTGGCTCCCTTACATGTAAAGTGGGGGTGATTTTTTTTTCATCGTCTACCCCTTACCCCATTGCGTGAGGTATCGTGGAATTGGTTCTATAAAAACTTAGGGGTTGCTAAGACTATATTTTGATTAAGGGAAATATCAAGTCTTAAATTGCAAATTTTTGTTCAAGGAGGTCCCCACTAAAAACTCTTGGCTTGCAGAATCTGAAAAAATAGTAATGTAATGTAATAGTTGTTCAACTGAGGTATTAGATTTTTTTATCTAATAAAAAATCATTATAGGGACACATTGAAATTGACTTAGATGAAGTAATTGCTTGCTTTTATCGCATTTTTACGCGATAAAATATATATAGATGTGTAGTTTCTATCTACATATGCAGATGTGGCTTAACACTTGCAGTTGTTTTAAGTGTTAAACATAGATAAATAATTGGTCTCGAGCGAGACCAATAATTGATCAATGCTGTTAAAGTAATCACGGTAAAAGCGCACTCAGCATAGGTAATTGGACCCATTTCAAAAACCGCAGTCCGCTATCCCAGTGCATTAGGATAACGAAGTTGACCAGTATAAGGATCGCAAAATATTGAAATATATGGCTAGCAAAATAGATTAGAAAAATACTTACCTGTAAACAAAAAAGTAGACATTTAAGTAACGGCCACTTTCACAGTCCAGAATCAAGAATAAATTCTGTGTTTAAATGGTAACTACTTAACCCGACAATATACTTATAAACATATGTGGGCCACTTGCGCAGTCCAAAGTTAACTCATTTATGTCCCTGTTTAATGATAACCCGTGTTACATAATATAATAATCGTCTTGCAGTGCCCAGAGTTAAGAGAAAATTCTGTGTAATATATATTATTACCTTTCTAAGTTTACTGGTACATAATTTAAAATATTTATAATCAAGCAACCAAAAACAGCACAGTATTATCTATAGTTTGCCATTTTAAGTTTTTGTAATAAACTATCACACCATTCGCCCCTCACGCCACTGCGGCGCACACGCGATTGATTGCTGTGTTGTGTACCAAACCAAGTTGTATACCTGAAGCGAAGCGAGTAGGTCTCTAGCCCGTAGGATTCGCGTTTCGACCGTTTTTATGAAGTCGTTATACTGTAGATATCAGTACTGTGCCAAGGTTATGCATTTAATTTAACTTTGACAGGTTAGATAGTATTTAAACACAGAGTTTACTCTTCTGTGCAAATGGCCCTTAAAATATCTATTCATCGACTTCGCTGTGACTATGATCCATCGTATTAGTGCTTCTGTGATTTATTAAAGTAAAAAAGGTCGGCCTCTCACTGTCTACACGTCACGTCAGACCTTTTTCACGCTCGAAAAAGGTCTGAAAAAGCTTGACTGCAATCGAGTGGCGTTCTTATCTTCAAATTTATTCGTCGTTACAAACTATATATGTAGTTAAGAAACAAAAATTAAAACCTTCCACGTTGACCGATTAAGGTATTTTGTTCAGGTTCGCATGGATATGATAATCATATTACAAACAAATAAAAATAATTCATTACTAACAAGAGCTTGTATCAAGCTACCGAATAACTGAAAAGCGTAATTAAAAGGAAGTACAATTTTCTTTGTCCGTCAGCCAGACGAACGAATGAATTATCCTTCGGAGTTCAGAATAATGGGGCCGCGATGGAAACTGATAAAACGTGCTTTCATTTCGAGGGACGGCTGCATGTGACAGCGGTGACGTCACGGGAAGGAGTGGGAGGCGGTGGGGGAGCCGCATACATACGTGTCATATAAATCACGTTGGGTACTCCCGTAATATACTGCCCTGTACTATCAAGTGGAAGTTATAGCTTTATGCGCCAACCTCTATGGATTTTACTTGCACCAGTAATGAAATGCGAATAAGCTTTTGTAGTTGTATAACTTAATGGTTTATAAATTCCTCACCTTGGAAAAGCAGTCTATTAATGACAGGTTTTTAATAAATTTCTATCATAATGAAATGTTTTGTAAAGTTATATAAAAAAGCTAGAATCAAAAGTGTACAAATGGTAAATATTATACTTTCTTAACGGAAAAACGGTTTTCATAGAATTTGTAATTCTATTCAGACTTCAAAACATGTTCGCCCTCCTAAAGAATTATTTCTATATTAAGGGCGTTAAGTTTTTTTGAATGAGGTTACCGTTGATTATTCCCTGAATAATTCAAATTGTATTAAATTTTATTGCCCTGGGGCCGATGTATTTGCATAATAAAACTGGAAATAACGCATTTCATTCCATATTATAAACAGAGATACAGTCGTCGGTTCGATTAAATTTATAGAAGAGTTCAGCGTTTTAGCCTGTTCTATAATTATTAATCTGAAATAAATTAACTTCGTTTACATAAATCTCGATTG